TTGCTTTTGCACAGATACCACTTTACAGCTTTCGGAGCATCTTCACGATTCACCATCTCTGTTCCCCAGCCTCATGAAGTAGGCAGGATATAGGTATGGAAATGGATTGTCCCATTTTGCAGACAGGGTTCAAAGAGGTTAAATGACTTGCCTACATTCACACAGATAGGAGGTGACAAAGCTAGTACTGAACCCAGGATCCTTAGTCTGGCTTGTTCTGGGGTCCCCTTTTGAATATTAGTGATGTCTGTGACACTGTAAGGGAGGGAACACACTGGAGTTGGCAGAAAGCTAGTGAGGGGACCCCAGCAGGAAGAACAGTGGCATAGGAGAGGGGGTGACACTGCCTTCATGCCCTCAAACCACCAACTCTTTGAAGAGAAAAGGTATTTGAGTGGCTGCCATAAACTGAGGGAGGGCTGGTCTCTAGCTACTCAAAATGTTTTCTCATGCTATTGATTCAATTCGGAAAACATTTATTGAGGCTTTCTTACAGACCATGTTCTCTACTGGGGGCAGAATAAGTAAGCAGAAGTATAATGCAAAGCAGAGTGTCTACTTCTATAAGGAGAAATATAATGAAAGTTTTATATTTGAAATGTAAACAGAGGGCTTTGGATTTCCAGGGGAAGGTACATGCGATTAAGTCATCCTTGGGAGATGAAGGCAAATACAGCTGAGCCCTGAAGGATGAAGCAGGATTTGACCATCAGGAGACAGGAGGAAAGGGGTCTCTTCCCAGCTCTTCCTCCTTGCGCTCCTCCGTGCCGCAGTCACCACTGCTCTGGTGTGACAGGACGCCAGCTGCCACGACCTATTTGCTGTAGGACCTAGCCAGCCCCAGCCCTGGTGGAGCCTCTACCCTCGCTTGTCAGGTTTGATGCAATGCCCTGAAGCATGTACTACAAAGTGAGAGAGACTCTACCTGGCAGCTCTGGGAAGGTTTGCAGTGGGAGGGGAGGCATACAGGGCCCCTGGCAAGGGATGGCAGGTCGAAAGGAGGCACCTTTTCTAGTGATGATGCCTCCTAAAGGGCTGAGAGGCAGGAGCTATTGCTTTGCATGTGTGATTTTAGACTGAGAATGTTTTGTGTCTTTATTTTAAAACTGGCTTCTCAGTCTCCTGTGCAGTTTTCTGTCAGCTCGTTGCCATGGAGAAGTCGGTTGGGGCTGAGAGCTCCGTCCCTCTCTGTGTCAGCATTTCTGGACCTGCCAGCTGCCTCCTGCCCCTTCTACAGATGGAGCAGCTACAGGACCCCACTTGGTGGTCAGACCCTTTCTCTGCAAGGCCTGGAGCTGCATCTCGACCCTCTTTGGGAGAGGAGTGTCTTTTATCTGTGCATCGACTCAGCACCTCTCCTTGAGTGCCTTCATGTGCCAGGCATCAGGCTGTGCTCTGCAAGTACGAAGGTGACGGTGGCTGGAGGCACACTCATCTTCAGGCAGGCCCCACCCGCATGTTGTCACACCATCCCTGTCTGCCAGCCTCACTCTTACTTCAGAATTTAAAGGACTGGGTTTGTTTCTCCTCCAACCTTGATCGCTGCTCATTTAGAATCTCCCTGGAAATTACCAACCAGTCTCCGCACTCCTCGATCTCATTTCTTCTCTGTGTCCCCAGCGCCCAGCACTGGCCTGGGGCAGAAAGGAGGCTTACCCAGGAAGTGTCTGTCTAATGGAATCCTGTGACCCTGATGTATAGTGCAACCTGGTAAATCCCTTTCCTTATCAAGATCTCAGTTTCGCTCTTTGAAAAATCCAGGAATTGGATTGGGTGATCTTGAAGGGCTCTTTTTGCTCTAAAAAGCTGAAGACTCAGCTTTAAAAGAAAAATCTTCCCTCATCTGCTGCTGCCACCATCCCCAGTGCCCTGGGCTGGAGGCTGACCTCAGCATGAACCTTCCTGCCAGCCTCCTGAAGCTGCTTTCCCAGGAAGCTCTGGGCTAGAACACTGGCACTGGATGCAGAAATCTCTTTCAGATATAAAAGTCCCTTGGAAAGCACCATCTCTCTTCCCACCCCCAGTCCAGTGGCTGGGCTTGGCTTGCATCCCAGAACAGTAGAGAATTGCTGGAAGGAGAGATTTTTGCTTCTTCACCTTTCTTGCTTCTCCTTAGGACTTGTTGCCTTCAAGAGCCTTTGGCTACTGAGGATTCTATTTCCCAGGCTGCCTGCTATCCAGGGCCCTGCGCTAAGCGCTGAGAAGGATGCAGAGATACAGACATCGTCGTCCCCATAGGTAGTCTTACCATCTGCGACATGGACGGGTGAAACAAAGCAGGGCTCTGAGGTTCACAGGAGGCTGTCCCCAGAATCTAGTCATAGCCCTTTTGTCTTGGGCAAGTTCTTCCCTTCTCCAGACCCACGTTTCCCCTTCCTGGGACAGCTGAAAGGATTGGGCCAGTGATCTCTAAGTTCCCTTCCTGCTCTGAAGGTTCCATTCTCAGTGCTCAGTGAAGGAGTGATTACTGTAGACTTTGTAGAGGAAGGAGGATTTGAGCGCAGCCTTGAAGGCTAGGCTAGGATTTGGCCTAGCCCTGGAGAGATAGGGGAGGAGGGTGCAGGAGCACAGGCAGACACTGTGGAGCACATGGTAAGGGTGGAACAAGGCAGAGGCCCTCTTCACCAGAGCAGAGGGTCCGGGTGGATAGCGAGGAGCAAGAGCAATCCCTGAGGAGGCGGCTCTTGCCTTCCATCTGAGGGCCCTCGTCCCCAGGGCCCTGGGGTACTGGTGGTACTGCAGAACAGAAGAGCAAACAAGGCAGGGTGAAACCAGGGCTCCCCCACTCCTGGGGGCCCCAGTCTGGTGTAGAAGGACCCCACCAAGAAGACACAGGATCAAAGCCGGGAGAGGCCACCCGTCTCCAGGTCCTTTCCTGCTCACTCCAGTCAGCAGGTTCGCATTCAGCAGGACCAAGGCTGAGCGTGAAAGGGTAGGCTTTCCTCGGGAGAGCTGCTCTTTGTGGTCTGTTCCTTTCCAACGTTTTCCTGAACTCAGGGTAACAAGGATATTTCAACTGTGTCTTTGGGGTTAGATTCTAGAATCATCTACCAGACCCGTGATTCAAAGAATCGCACATCCTAAACCGGGATGTGACCCCCATCCTCCAGTCTTCTGGCTGCGGCTGTCTGACCCTCTCTCCCCCTATACCCACAGCTTCGCTGATGCCAAGTCCTCATGGCCCTGCCTCCTTGTTTCTCTCCAGCCATCCCTCTTCTGCATCCTCCTGTCTCCAAACCTGGTCTCCCTAAAGTTCCTCCTCCACACTCAGTCTAAAGTGTTTAGAAAAGTGCTCAGCACACTGTAAGGGCTCCGTAAATGTTATCTACATGACGACAGTGATGGTGATGATCGTTATTATCCAGATTTTGCTTCTGAAGCAGAGCTCTGATTCTGCTACTCTCTTGCGCAGAAGCCTGAGTCAGGAACTTTGAGGATTATATTTCCTGAGCCATCAACAATTTTATGCCTTCTACTTATCATTTCAGATTGACTTCCCTCTACTACTATTTACACTTCCTCTTCTTTCAGACTGAACCACCACCGTTAACTCTACAAGCTCCATCTACCGTCTCAACTAGGCCTTTGTTCACACTGCACTTCCTGCTTGGAATACCCTTCCTCCCCTCCCCTCTAGCTTCCTTTTTCTGCTAGGAAGGCTCTGTTGATCCCCTAGTCTTGATGGCAGATGCCACAAATGGTCCATTCAATATCCCCGATGGCACCTATCACATAAAACTCTATAACTGTTTTATGAATTCCTGGAAAGATGGCTCAGTCCCTATTTTTAAGCAAGCTAGAGTTTGCATTAGGGAAGCTCAGTCATTAAGGCCTGTCCAGCCAGGCCTCGATGCCTGTATATTTTCTAGAGGGTCTAGAAGTTCCCCGGTGCCTGTGGGCATGTATTCAGTTTGCCAGTTCCATGTGGTCATGATCCCTTTGCTCAAAATACAAACAAACTGGCCGGAGAGTGTAGAAACCCAGGGGAACCGTGTCCGCTGTGTAGTTAGCTCCTGCTAGGTTGGGGTAGAGAGCTGCCATCCAAGGTGCAGGGCCCTGTATGATCCTGGAAATGTCAGTATCCTCGAGGGCTCATTCGGGGTCCTCCAATGGGAGGGCAAGGATTCTGGCAGAAGAATCTTAAGGTAACTATCATCGGGCATCCAAGTTCCCAGGGACTCCAGCCAAAGAACAACTTGGGGCACAGATAAAAGGTTCAGGCCCTTAGGTGGTGGGATGGCAGCAGAGTCTAGGCAGAGTGTCTGTATCCTGCCCAGCCAGCTGGAGTTTGACTCAGGCCTCTAGCCCCAGAAGCCCCCAGTTTAGGGCTCACTGGTTCTGTGACTGGACATTTCCAGCAGGAGTTGGCAGGGAGGCCAACAGGGGGAAATGGGCTCCTTTTCTGGTCAGGATTGACTTGGAAGAAGGTGTAACCACAGTTTGGAAACACCTTCTGGGCTTCAGTTCCCTTAGGCCAGGAAATCTAGGGGAGGCAGTGGCTGACAAGTCACTGGGCCCAGAGGTGAGTCCTGCCTCCTGGTTCACAATCTGGCTCACCAGGCCCTTGCCTCCATTTCAAACACAAGCCATGATCATGCCTCCCTCTGGGCTACCATTTGGAAAAGCCAATCTCAGGCTGCCACTTACTGCCTGTAAATGGCATGGAATTAGACTAATCAGTGGCTCTTAATTCCCCAACAAATGTGGATGCTGTGCTAATTGCCAGGGTCCACACCGGCAGATCCCTGGTTGGTGGCATCAAACAGGAGAAGTGGTAATTTGGGGGCTGGAGTCGGGGAGGGCCTGCTTTGCTGGCTGAGCCAGTTAAAAACCACATTACCCCTTGAGCAAGGCACAGTGCAGAGAGCCAGGTCCTGGCCTCCTTCTCAGCCAAGTTGCTGGGTGAGTGGCCCACAAGTGTGTTCGCAGGAGCTAAACCTCAACATCTGTGGAGCAGTTTTTGGTCCGTTAATGAGATTTTGTTGTTGTTGTTCCTCAAGGAAGATTCCACCAGCAGCCTGGCATGGCACTGCCAGGGCAGCTCATTGGGGATAAAGCATCCCAAACCTTGGTCTGCCGTTACCATGGCAACATGGCATTTCCAGACTCTCCAGGCAACCTTACTGGCATCTGTTGCTGTGAAAGATTCAGATGGAGAAGTGCCACTGCTCTTTCTCCATTGGAGACAGAGCAAACTGTGAAGACAGGGAGCCATGTACCAAGGACCAGGATCTTAAAGGAAAGTGGTGATCCATTGGTGTAAGCACTTCTTGATGAAATGGTATTGGAATGTCTGTTATAGTCTCTTGGGGAGAGCTACAGGACCAGAAGAGAACTCCTGGAGGAGAAAAATAAGGGGGGGTGGAATATAGGAGTATAGGAGGGACCGTGTGACAAAGACCTCGCCAGGGAGATAGCTGAAGTGTGGCGATAGCGTGGGCAGTTCAGTTTGATGGGAGAATGGACATTAGTGGTGGTGGTCAGGTGGTAGCTATGCCTCTCTGAAATCTGCTGGTTTGAGCCCTGTTTGACAAAAGCCCGACCCTCATTCCACCCAGATTATGTCCTCCCCTTTCCTCTCCTGAGGGGTGGGAGCTGATGTCCACACCTCACACCTCACTTCAGGTGGACATTTCTTCCTTTCTGTCTTGGTTCACAGTTGCTTGCAGTATCTTGTGTACCCACTAGAATCACTGAACCTCTGTGTTCCATGGGGGGAACCCAGACCCAGAGAGGAAGATGCTTGCCTAAGGTCACCAGCAATACAGAGGCCATAAAACAGAGTGGTTAGAACTTAGAATCTGTAGACAGACTGACCTTGGTTCAAGTCCTGGCTCCACCACTTAGTTTTCTAGTGACCTTCGCCTCGTCGTCTTTAGGGGTAAAATAGGAACCCTGAACCTTCCTACCCTAGTAGGGCATTGTGGGTGTGAGATGAGGTCACAGAAGTAATACAGGAGTTCCTGGTGTGTAATAAGAGCTCAGGAAATGTTGGGTATTAAGAGACTGGGAATTCCTTAAAAATGGGGACTGTCTTATTCATCTTTGCTCATTCCTCCTCTTTATACACAAGGCACGCAACTCTCTCTGGAGTTGATATTAGGAGGATGTCTGCTGGCTGGATGAATGCATGAATGCTCAGAGTGAAAAACTGTCCACATTGATGGGCTCTATGCTCCTGTTGAATGTTTTCAGCTTCTGTGCTGTTTGGTGTCCAGGACTGGAACCAAAGAGTCTATCCTGGGTAGCTCAGCCCACACAGTAAAGTGACTTGCCCATTCAGGTCCCATACCCACCAGCCCTGTAGCCCAGGACTTATACTCCCTAGGGCTGTGCGTTTCCTAAATGACAGATGGAGTCGTTTCCTCTCGACCTTTGGGCACAATATAGGTACGAACGGTAACTAACGTATAGCTTTATAATATACAAGACGTTTCCATTCACTCTCACGTGAGCCTCGCCATAGCACTGGGATTGTCAGGTGTAATATCCCAGGTTGTGGGTGAAGACCCTGAGGCTTGGTAGCCGGGAGTGGCTGGTCCAAAAGCACACGGCAGGAAGGGCTGGAGGAGGGCCATGGTCCCATCTTCTGACCCCAGCTCTGATGGCCTTCCCACTGGATGCAGTCTCTCTGGGTCTGCAGTTCTTCCTGGGGTGTAATTCTGTCTAGTGGGGTGAGGACCACTGGGCTTGGGCTCAAATGCCTTGATTTGGGTCACAGTCCTGTCACCTCTCGTGGGGCATCTCTGAAGTGAGCCACCTCTCTCCTAGACGTGCTCACCCCTGATCTTCCTGCTTTGGGTCTATAGTGGGGCTGAGAGTGCTTTGGGAAAATATGAGATTGCCATTTAGTGACTGGGAAGAGAGAGGTTGTTTTCAGCAAATGAGGTCTCCCTCAGCTCAGCCAGGCTGCCGCCCCAGCAGGCCTAGATGTGCTGTGGAATGACAGCCTGGGTGTATGGGAAGATTCACTCCATTGTCCTGAAACACCAAGTGTCAGAGCTGGACGGGTCCTTGGAGAGCAGTAAAGCTGGTGCCTTCAGTTTATAGGTGTGGAAATGGAGGCCCTGCGAGAGGTGGTGACTCACCCGAGACCATGTGCTGAGTTAGTGGCCGTGCCGCAGCCTTGAGCAGCCAGGCATTTGACCTTGCTCTGGGTGCCTCATTTGAATTCATTTTAGAGCACCAGATTTTTTTTTAAGTTTTTAAAGAACTGTGTATACCAGACTATTTTCAACGGTGTTAATTTTTAAATTTATTATAAAGGTAATATAATAATCATGGATGAAAATTTGGGTAATACAGAAATGTTCTATTTAGAAGATAACAAACTGAGTGATATTCATAAACCTCAGAAATAACCCTGTAGGCAAGTTGCTGTTTTTTAAATGGAGAGTTTTCGACCAGTGGTCCCCTACACCCTATAACATGTTCTGCAAGTTTAGCTGCAGAGAGTGACACTCCTTAGAGGCCTCCAAGGACTTAATTTAGTTCTGCAGACTTCAGATAGTTAGATATACTGCTAACACTAGTTGGGGGCATCTGTAGAGTCTCTTCCAGGTAACAAACCACTTCTTCATAGGCGTTCTCATTTGATTATTTGATCGTTATAAGAATCCCATAAAGCAGAGTATTATTTTCCCAATGCAAGTGAGAAATTTGAGCCCCAGGGAGATTACGTAGTTTACTCAAGATTACACGTCTAAGAAGTAGTAGAGCTGCTGACTTCAAACTAATACTTGGCATAAAGAAAGCAGAAGGCACCTAATAAGTAATTGATGAATGAGTGAATGTTTGACTCCCCTTCTAGGGAAGGCACTTGAAATCATCTGGTCCAGTGGTTTTCAGGTTGTGCTCTGGGAAACCCTAGGATTCCGTGGAGTCAGCTGAAGGCTGAATTGATGGCATTCTGAGCCCCTCACCTCTGCTCCAACCAGAGTAGCTTCAGTGTTATCTCTTTTACCCACTGGGAGATTGAAAACAATTTAGCTAATCTAGCTCCTACACCAGTGGTTCTCAAACTCTGATGTGTATCACAACCTCCATGGGAGGTTCTGACAGTTGGTCTGAGGTGGGTGCCAGGACTCTGTTGAGAAGTGCAGGTAGTCATCAGAAATAGTGGCCTACTTCTTGGAGCTGAGGAAGGTAAGACCCAGGGAGAAGAAGGGAGTTCCGCTCGGTCATACAGCCCCGTGGGAGCACAGGCCCCAATAGGAGTTGAATCCTCGGTACCTCATCTGCTGCCCTTCCCTCTGCACCACAACTGCAGCTGAGCCAGAAAACAAATGACACAGCAAAGAATAACAGAACGGTTTCCATAGCAATGCTTCATGGTTTATGCTTGTCAGTACACCTCAAACACTCATCTGAACCCTCAGCTACAACTTGTGTGAAATCCTACCTACTTTTTCCATGCAAGGGGCCTAGGGGATGGGAGGAAGGAAGAGGGATGGATGGATGGCATCCTTTTTTTTTTTTTTTTGCCCCTATACTGGGGATTCTCCCAAATTTACTAACAACTGGTAGCAAGACAGAGCAGACCGAGGAGGGCTAGGAATGGACTCTGGGCAAGAAACACGGGGCCACCCCAGCATTGGATGGGGAGATGGGGACTGGTGCAGGTGCCAACCAGGCATGTATCATGTGATGGACTCTGTGCTGGGCATGCTACCTATTCAAAAAAAAAATACAAAACAAAAGGAAAGGAAAGATGATTGTCCTTATTTACGGATGACGAAACTGGAGCTCAGACAATTAGACCATAAGTGACAGAGGCAAGATTAGCACAAGCCTGTCAGGCTCCATGGCTGCTGAGCAACAGTTGCTTTGACTTTCTCTGGCCAGTGAGTGAGGCCTAGAGATAGTTACCAGCCAGCTATCTCCTCCTTATCTCAGGAAGGAGAGGGTTGGCCTACAGGCAGCTGGGTGCTCATTCAAAGAGCTGAGAGGACTGTGCAGGGACATGGTTAGTCCTTGAGCTGGAGGTGGACTCTGTCCAGTCTTTGGCTGTAATGTCTCCCTTCCCCACGAGAGTTCTGGTCCCCTTCAAACTACGGGTGTCTTTGGCAGGGGCCGACCCAACTGCCCCCTCCACACACACCCTCAGCAAGTCCTTGGGATTGGTGGCGCCTGTGGGTGGCCTGCCCGGCTCTCTGACTTGGCTTCGCCTCGAGGGAATAAGCCCCTCCTGCGGCTCCTCAAACAGGTATCCACTGAGCACCTTTTGTGACCCTGTACCTGCTCTCAGTGCTGGGGATGCAGCCATTGAACAAAACGACATTTTTGCTCTCTTGACATTGTCCGGTCTAGTGAGGAGACAGACACATGAGTATGTGATGGGGTATGACGTGCTGGGAAGGAAAACAAAGCAGTGTAAGGGGATAGAAGGAGGGGGTTGAGTGGTCACTGAGAAGGTGACATTCAAACTAAGACTCAAATGAGAAATGGGAGGATATCTAGGGAGGAGCGTTCCAGGCAGAGGGAAGAGCCAGTGTGAAAGCCAACACAGGAAGCACGACTGGCCGGTTGGAGGAATAGCCCAGAGGCCAGTGTGGCTGGAGAGGAGCGAGCGAGGACGAGAGTGGCAGCAGTGGGCATCAGGGAGGTAGCTGGGAACCGGAGCGTGTGGAACCTTATAGGCCAAGAACAAGACCTTGGATTTCCTTCTGAGCTAGGGTGCCATTGGAGGATTTGCACTCTGGAGACACATGCCTGGCTTCAGCCTTAGAGCCTCCAGCCCCGTTGTCTGGGAGCAGAATCAGTCACCTGGGATGGAGCCCACAGGAGGCTGAGTAGTCTCTGCTGGGCACATGAACAGTCACACAGGCAGGGAGCCCAGCGGGACTTGCCAGGCCTCCGTGGCTGCCGTTGTGTTTCTTCTCAGGGCCAAGGCTAAAGGGCCTCTCGGAGCTGCCTACCCCCAGGCTCTCATTTCTGGGTGGGTTCACACTGCCTGGGGGTTAGAAGGCATCGCAAAGGGGCGGCAGGGCTGCAGTGTTCCCCACGCCAACACTGCATCCTCTGGGAATGCCGCTTCTCCCGTGGACACCCGCCCCAGGGAGGAGCACGGCGCCTGTGTATCCCAGCCCAGCAGCCAGGCCACCTACCAGACTGAGGGAAGAATGCCGCTTCCCACGGGACCAGTGGGAGAACGCGGGCTGGTAGGTTATAATTAACCAAAATGGTAATTTTGTTTCAAATGTTATGGTTTTTTATGAAGTAGGGACATTCATAAAGGAA